GTTTTTTGTTACTCTCACTTAAGAACATAAAAATGATCAGGTCTCTTATTAATTTTCTATTTACATTATCATATATTTTAAAAATATGCTTCAAATGCTAGGGTTCTGGATGCCCACATCCTTCATATATTCAATATTTTGGATTTTATTAGGCACAAATTTATGAGAACATGTGAATTACAGGATATGGCCCCCTGGAGAAAGAGTAAGAAACACGTGAGCTATTTTAACATTCAATAGGTATTACTCACAAGTTCACCAACTGTATCTGAGTCCCTATCTTTGGGACAGCAGATTACTGGGAAAAGACCACAGACCACCTAAGTGCCAACAGCAGCAACTGATACAGCTGAAAGTATTGAAATGACCAGAGCAATCTGTTGGGTTAATATGGGGAAAGGTCACATTACCTAGCAGCAGTACATGCCAAATTCTTATTGCTAAGGCAGCTGTTCCTAATATAAAACCTTGGAAAAGTTTACATTGTCCTCTGTTCCACATGATGGATGATCCTGAAATGAGGCCTTTGAGGGCAGTATGCAATAGACCATCACTGCACAGCTGTGATAGGATGGTTGAACTGCATAGGAACATTGGGAAAATGGGTGTATGGAACCAACTGAATTATCTGTGAGAATGGCACATACATTTCCAGTGCTTTCCATCTGGATTTGAGTCCCAGTTGCTATATTATGGTAATTATGCTGCTGCTATTAACAAACATAGTATTTTATAAAGAATTAGAAAACAAATGTTACAAATCTATTAAAGAAGAGTGAATAGGCTAAGAGGAAGAAGAAGACTGAGAAAATAAAGGGTGGATTGAGTTGACATTCCCTCAAAGAGAGGGAAGTATTAAATTTAAAGAACAAAAGATGATGCATGAATTAGTATATGTACATGGTGGACACAATGATAATTTGCAAGAACAGGATAGTATGGAAAGATATGGTGAATAGTATTGGCATGAACTAATTTTAATTAGATTTCCTTTTCTATTACCTCCTACTTTTTTTTTTTTTACTACTTCTTATTCTTTTGAGTTTTGTATGCGCTTACCCTGATAAAGAATAGCCATGGTGGATGTATATACCTTATACAGAGTAACTGGAAAGAAAAGGAAAGAAATGGATGATATATAAAAGAGGAATATGAAATTACTTAGCCTTAGTTGCAGTCCAGTGTTTGGAGTACAGTGTTGTTCGAAGACTTCATGGAGGCATTATCAAATCAAAGATTAGGCTATCTCAGGTCACAAAATAGCATGCAGCTTTTGAATTTCAAGAACTTTTATCGAGCAAGGTGTTATAAATCAACAGCAACAAAAATAAGGAAACTATTTGCTTTCTGGCATCTCCAATATCCAGAAGAGGTGTGGAACAACATGAAAGCAAGCAACATGATAGTTTTGCTCTGTAAAACAAGTGGCTGAGTTGCTTCACAAAGTAGTTTTGAAGGGTGCTTTACTTGAAGTATTACTGAAGTGAAATATCACTTTAAAACTTTCTAAAGTTACTCGATTTGGCTTCCATTTCTTTTAAATTATCCCCATCTCTGTTAATGTAGAAATTGCCTACTGAAAGATTTTGCCTGTTGGTGAGCAACTATTTTGGTTCCTTCATCTCAGCAGAGATTGGGGAAGGTACTGGTGATACCTGAAATCATTTCAGTATCTGCCTATTTATATATATCCCCCATATGATTAGAACTGAATTAAATTTGAAAAGCAATAATTCCTTTCCCATTTTTGTTGTTTTAGGTACCATATCCGCAGAAGAAAATTGTAAGTAAGCTGCAGATAAGCAACTTTTATGTTTCCCTTCAAAAAGAGTGGCCTATTTACTCACATATTCAGCTACAACATAGTTTGCTTGGATTAAATTTAGAGTACATATGAATGTGATCTCTGCAGTTTCTAAATCATGCCTTATATTTATGCATGTTGTACTTTATTCAAAACAAGGTTAAATAAAACTATGGACTAGCATGTATCAACCAGCTTAGTTACTTACTTTTGCTCCCATATCAAGAAGCTGTTGAATAAAGACTTTTGAGTAGTTTTCTGTTCTGCTGGATGACCATACTTCAACATATGCTACAACACCTAAAAAGCAATTATAAGAGAAATCTTAACAGGAGATCCATATTTTCTTGGGACTAGCACTTTCTACAAAAATAAAAATAAGGAAACTATTTGCTTTCTAGCATATGCAAATATTTAATTATTTGAATAGCATACTTTGCTTTCTCATAAGCAGCCAAGACCAAAGTTGAGGCATGTTAAATTCAATGTAATTTTAACCTAAGTAGATTACATACTTATCTTCTACTATCATGTCATGTAGTTATTCCAAAACCATTTTCAGAAAGACAAAATTGGATTGCAGAAAATAATATACTGTTTTCAAAGCCTTTATCATTAAAGTGTACTTCCACTTTTGTTTGTTAAAATAATTTTTAAGAAACAACCTCCACATTTTTGACATTTAAAGAGTTAAGAGTTTCTTGCATTTGGATGTTAAATGGATTGGCTGCAGATGAGGCTTACTTAGTGGCATACAGTGTCATTTCTGCCCTACCCATGTCAAGGAAAAATAATGAAATTGGTGGACACCAGCATAGTTGCAACTCAGTAATTTGATCAAAGAGAAGAACTGCCAAGGAAATGGCACATTACTGCAACTGTAAGCACTACATTTCTTCACTAGACAATGACTACAATCTTCAACATCAATTTGTAGTTTTTACAATGCATAGATTTTTTTTAATGATTAATGGTTTATGAGAGATAAAGAAAAAGAACCATTTTTAAAATGTACATACACCTCCATGTGCATTATTTTTTCCAACAGAAAACCTAAACACATTCTTTTCCAGAGAGAAAACCTCACTAGCCTGTTGCAGCATGTGACCCTAGGGAAGCAAGGAGGCGTCTTACAATACAGCTAACATAGGTATCTCTATATATTTCCTGGCAGGATGAAGTCCGTGTGCATTTAGAAAGGCTGGAAAGAGCGCCTACTTGTGCCACAGTAGCTTACTTCACACAGACTTAGGATGTCGGAAAGGAAGAACGCAATCATCCTGTGTAACAGGTTTCCCCTATAAGTGCTATTTCCTAGTCAACGTGGCCCAGAGCCACGTCGGAGATTCTGGGAAATGCGGTCTCAACACACGTGAAGAACAGACTGGGGAAAGATGAACGTGCGCACGGCTACTTCCAACTTAGTTATAAACTACCAACTCTTCATACATCAGGCTCCCCTTTCACCTCTTCGACACCCAAAAAAGGTTGTTACAATCGCGCACAGCTAACGTGAGAAAGAAATGGTTAACAACAGCCGCATTTATTTCCGACCCACATCCCTCCTTTTTTTTCAGCGTCGGGAAAGCTGGCAAAGACCGCGCTCGCTTCATGTCTGTACCTGTTAAAACAGGCCGGCCGTTGTTAAGCTCCATTCTAACTAAACGGTATTAACGAACTCCGCGCCACCGTTTAAACGTCCCTCTGCTACGGGCGCATGCGCATTGCGAAGCAAGGCCTTCTCTTTCATCCGGTCTGCGGTCGCCTGGTGAGAGCCATAGAGATAATAACAGTGATCGAAAGAAGATCTTTCCTATCTCTATGGTGAGAGATACGTTGCCCCACCCACCCTCCATATTCTGAAGCGACGCATGCGTTCAACTTAAGAATTGAGTCGGGGTGGGTACAACATTGATTGCTCAGCTGGGTTAGCCTCGAGTTAGTCCCGCGCGTGGAAGAGAGGTCATCAGAATTGAGCTCCCGGAGCTGTTTGAATGATAAAGCATCATTTACAAATCCCAGTGATTAGATTCATCCTCACAGTCAAAACAAACCTTAGTTCGGCTCCTGTAGGGCTTTCCGATCTGAGCTGCAAAACTGGCAGAGTACTAGCTCCTAATTTGACCGATTCACGCAGATTTTTGCAACTCAGATACAGTATACCTAGTTCCGTAGTACCTTTATTACAAATTGACTAGCATGAGTTTGCTTTTGGGGGGTGCAGATGACTTCTTTCTTATACGTCTAAATAAAGTAAGCAATGTGTCCCTATGTATAGTTTATGGGTATGCTTCAAAGTTAGAGTCCTTTTAGATTTAACCTGGAAGTAACCAATGGGACATTTCTTTGAATAAACACAGAGGTGTGTTTGAAGGTGGCAGGTACAAGTACATTTACTTCAGGGTAAACTAAATCTGTCGTCTAATTCATGACTATTCCTTTATACCGAAGTTTTGAGTACTTCTCATTTATAGTTTCATTTGAACAACTTGGTTTAAGAACAAATATTGCCGTGTTTCCTCAAATTTCAGAGCATAAGTTCCCGCTCTGAGCCAGAGCCCAATTCAAAATTGCTGCTGATGTTTACAGCTCTCTGTTCACAATCCCCCAGTATCAACCTGCCCTTATTTCATGCTGCAACCTGGCTTGCTCCTTATGTTGCTCTTCTTGTTTCCTGTTCCAGGGCAAGAGAGACTGTCCTGGGATTCTGGACTCAGCTGCCTCCTTCCCTTCATCTCTCTGAAAATTTGAGGGGCTTTAAAAGGTATCTGAGGATCTTTTCATTTGGATAATAATAATAATAATAATAATAATAATAATAATAATAATAA